CTTTGCTGGGCTCTTATAAGCATCTGGACCCTGACAGGATGAGTGTTCAATGTATGTGAAATAACTTCCCTTTCCGTGTGCATTTTTTTTAAAGCCTAGTGAAGGGCCTTACATTCACCGAGTGCTCAATAGATGCCATGGTTGGATTCATGTAAGTTGCTGAATCACTCATTGCATTACAGTTTGACTTGATCACACATTAGATTCAACAAAGAAGTTATTTCTTTTTTTTTGCAACCTGGCCTGCAATGGCATGAAATCTGCCCGAGATGATTACTCTCCTTTTAAGATGGCCTCTGATATTTACACTAATTTCCCAAGATCTCTTGAATGTGCAGGGGAGGTTTATCTGGATTGGCGTCAGGATATTGTTGCCTGAGTAGGAATGTTGTAAAATGTTACAATATAGCACCTTCAGGATTTTAAGACCCCCAGTTTACTCTAGAGAAAACAGTGCCCAATTCTCAGATTTAAAAAGGCTAACTTTTCAAGAAAAGATCCAAAGGTTGCTTCACAGTAAAACCTTTATAAGAACCCATGTTTGTCTGCTTCTGGTTGCTGACCTCTTGTTCAAAAGTTCTGCTCCCAGGCACTAGGCTTCTCATACTTCCCCATCAGAACAGTCTTCAGAGGGCATTCATTGGGCAGAAACCCAGTTTTAACTCTTTTGCTTCCTCTTTGTTTTGCTGTCTCCCAGGTCTTTGAGGCTTCCTGCCAGTTGATTGCATAAAGCATTCCTGGTTCACAAATCCACATATGCTAATGGCCTGTGAGGATTCCTACATAGTACCTCTTTGCTGGGCAATACTTTTGTATTTTGTTGTTGATCTGTTAGTCAGAATTCCTTCACTCAAATGAATGAAGTTCATACTAATGCCTTCAGATCCTATGATGGCCAATGGATAAAGGCTTTGACCCTATAAGTGTTTTACCAAACTCTAACAACTTCTTATTACGGGCCCTCAGCCACAGAAACATCTTCCTTGCTTCACTTGTCAGTCAGGGATGCTCCCTTCCTTTTTTGAAAGTAAAGTAAAATGGCAGAAAGTAAAGTAAAATGTGTGTTATTTGCACCTTCTTCTACTTTGTTACACTCTGGACTAGAAGGACCAAAGACCAAAAGACCAAAGGACGGTTACAAGTGTGAGTGCAAGGCAATCAGTTTCAAAACAGAGTTGACAGGGAAGAGGGCAAAGAGGACCACTGAATCAAGACACTCTCTGTTTGCATTCTGAACTCCTTTGATGAAAGCATAGCATAGCAGTGAGCACTTATCCTAGAAGTCTCCAAGTCAGAAAATGGGCTGTCTGAGTTGCACATAAGTAATACTCTGAGCCTACTCCTTGATTAGTACACATGAGAGGCTAGAGGCTGGGGAAAAAGAGAGAGGAAAAGTAGAGGAGGGAGAAAGAGCAGGAGGGAGAGAGAGAGGAACACAAACGGGGGGAGCAGGGAGGGAGAGAATGGAAAATAATTGTACTCTATCTAATGAGGCCCCACTGGACTAGTCCTGAGTTTAAATAAAAATCCCAAAGGCAAAAGCTGAAAGCTAACATTTCCCGAGTCTAGCCTGTCCCAATGGGCCAGAAAACACCTGACATCTACCTCCACTAAATTTCGGAGACACCTCCCAGGAGCCAAAACCATTTTGTTCAGAGGGAAAAGTGGGAGGGGTGAGTGTAGTAACCCACTGGCCTGGTTAGCCTCAGCAGCTGCCGAGAAGGAAAGCTGGAGAGGTAGGAAGCTAAGGGAGCAGTGAGGGTACCCACAGCCTTCTGAAAGCTGGAGAAAGTCTGCGAGAATACTTGCCACAAGAGGGAGCAGCAGAGTCTGGTCAGAGGGGAGGTTAGTGGATAAATGTTCTTACTGGGGAAAAAGGGTGTCTAACCATGAGTGCAGATGGAATCATGACATATGGACGGTGCTGAATGATGACTAGACAGAAAGGCTTACATCCCTAAGTCACAGAAAGTAGCGCTTGGACCATCAAATTCTTAACAAAACAACTGGATTTTTATTTGAAAGGAACATGTATAACAACAGCTCAAGCATATGAAACATGCAACCTGATGTAATATCCTCTTCTCTAAATGTTTTTTTTTTTAATATATATTAAACTTCCATTTCAGTTTGGATCTTGTTAATGGCTGCTTCTTGCCTGTATATTGTTCTCCTCCGACTTAGAGCGCCCTAGAGAAAAGACTGGCCACACTGAAAGACAACGTGAAAATGATGCACTTGGGTCCAAAAACTATGACACCCACAAAAATGAGCAAAACATTTTCTTCGCATTGCTTGTCTGCTTTCATTTTTCCTGCCCATTCTCTTTTTAAAGGAAGAATGCAATTTATAGAAGTTAGAGTTCTTCTCATCATGTCTTTTGTCAAAGAAACAGATTAAGCACTAAGAGAGAAGGAACCATGCGTTTACTTTTCAAGATAAATAAAAGTCTATTTTTGTCCATTAGAAAACATGTTAAATATAGCTCGCTAACAAAAGCTCCTCTCAATGTGTTTTATTGTTTCAAAACACAGAGCTTGAAAGAGCAACTACTGTAATTCCTACACATGGCTCCTCAGGGCGGCCCTTGCCTTGCCTTCCTGTTCCTTCCCACACTGCTGTGCTCTTCCCTCTCCCCTCATGGTCAACACTAATCTCTTAATCTAGATCCACACTGATACTACAGAAGCCACTCTTTGTAACAGTAAGGTCTACAGACAGATTTGATGGGCATGAAGCTCAGGCTGCTATGTCTTTAGTTCACTACTCTCTTCCGGGCGCCATAAAGCAGTTCTCAAGACAGAGTAGTTAAGGCTGATCACCCTGGACACTTAGAACCTTTGCAGCCTCTGGCCAGTTCAGCGATGAATCTCAGTTCACCTTATTTTCATTTTCCCTCACACTTTTGCTAAGAACTAATTGTTCATTTTTATTAAAACACAACAGCCATTTTAGCAGGGGAAAAGATCAAGCCTCTCTTTACAGTGGAGATCTTAGTTAAAGAGCCCAGAGATCCAAATGGAACCCTTAAAGCAGACGGAATTTGAAAATAAAGATAATTTAAGAAAACCTGTCTTACTGAAAGCACTGGGCTCTCCCTCACCAGCTCCCTCACAAAACCGTAAAGATGGATCAGGCTTCCGTCCTTCCTCCTGCCTTCACACACTGCTAACCCCCCAAATTAAGCAAGTTTAGCAAACCCAGAGAGCAAAATCCCAGTAACACAGGATTCGAAAGAGGAACCTAAAAGCAGACAACACAGTCATGCCTCTTCCGGCTTTGTGTTCCTATCACAAATGAAGAATCTCGATTCATCTCCCCCCCCCCCTTTTTTTTTTTCTGCAGAGGAGCTCGGAGAGAGGAGGTGTGTGTGTGTGTGTGTGTGTGTGTGTGTGTGTGTGTGTGTGTGTG